GACTGAGGATTTAAAATGTTGCGCACATTAACAACCATCAAATGCAAAGGGATGCAGAGATGAACCAATAATGCAGAACACGTTCACAGGTAGAACCACTTGATATCGACATTGTGGCGATGGAGAAAGGAACTCGGGGCAGCTATGTGCTGGCACTTGGGAGTGTGACCAATTTGTAGGGACATGAGTATAACAATAGCACATTGCCTTTGCTGTTTCATCCCAAGTCACCCAGTAACAACTGCTCAAAACCAGCACCCACTGGGCCACCAAATAATGGAGCTGAAAGGATGAAGTGATTTGCCATTGTTTGACGTCGCTGCAATCACAGCATTCCTGTTAACTTTGCAGCACCATTCAGCAAAACTACTTCAGAATGTCACAAAATAATGGCCGGAGGAGCATGATATGAGCACATCCCTTGGGAGCAAGTCAAGCTGTGCTTATAACCAGAGTAGTGTGCTTGTATCAGAAAGGTGCCCATTGTCTTCCCCCCGTTGCCAGTGCAATAAAATCACATTTGCTTTGTTGGAAGTATGTTTTTATCAGGCGTTCTTATACGCAATGTGCAATGTATCTAGAAGATTATTGTTAAATGTAAATATATTTAATATAAGCACACTATAAAGAGTGATGTTTGTATTAAGTTTTCATAATTGACAAAACACTCGCCACTGGTGGAAAGTGTACATGATTAGCTGTAGAGCCCCTCCATTCGTTTTAAAAGGGTTAAGCTATAGGTGAAAGAGAGTTCTCAACAAATGAATTCTCTAGACTAAACACGGTCAATCCTTGAGGGATCCGAACAATTTTACAAAGTTATAATACAAAGGCTTGAACCAAACGTCGTGGTTTAAGCCACATCAACGAAGTGTAAATGTTTCAAGTAACGCATTTGCATAGGCGCCTTATATTCAACATACATTCGTATTCATTAAATGCGTGGCACTGTGTTGAACGAGATCAAACCATGAGGCATGAATTGTTGAATTAACGCACGCAAAAAAACAGGCTTTTAAAAAAAACTTCATCATTTTAAAAACGTCAGAATAAATTGAGCTCCTTTGCTTCGTGATGCAGATATAGTTTCAGCTAAAATACCTGCTGGAATGTGTGGAATGGCTCAGGATTTTGGTACTTAAACATCAAAACACTTTTCATCAGAAAGAGCTGCTCAGTTTCAGACACCATTGTTATGCCAAGGGGATCTGTGTTTAGAGTTCTCATCAAATAAAATCAAGCAGGTTAATCCTTCCTTAGCCCTTTCCTAAAAAAAAAATGGAAAGGCATTTTGCGTTATGCCTTTCAACATTTGATACACTCCGAAAAACGTTTATAACCATGCAACTCAAGTGAACTTACGATGCAGATAAAACAATGTGCGAGTAAAAACGATTTAAAGTGCATTCTGTGTTTGCATTTTTAAAGCCGCACCGAAATTATTGTTACATTGTAGACATTGTTTATTTCTATTTTATTGCATTTTTTAAACTGCTATTACAGAGTGTGCTCGATCACTTGAGACTATTCTCTGCGAATATTAAGGGAAGATTATTTTCTTACACAAATTATAAATGGAGTGTGTTCATCCAGCTATGGATTTAGCACTTCACCATTCTGACGAGTGCTGGTTGGTGGGGGTCAGGGGATGAGGATGGTCGAGAAATACATCTGAGGTTGCCAGGTTCCAAAACAGTGCGTGCCTTTAGCCAGCTCATGAACAGTTCATCCTTAACCATATAATTCACATTTTCTTTTTGACTTAAGCTCACTTTAACTTAATCTCATCACTACTCCACAGCGGCCATACTCCCAAGTGCTCTCTCTCTCTCTTTCTGCTGCTATTCTCTCATCAACGTGTCCAACGTGTCCTACCCAGGCCCACTTACAATTATTAAGACTCAATATGGTGCTGTACAATGTGTTTCTTCTTCAATCTAAGTGTTCCTCTTACCGTTGCTCAGTGTGATTCCAAGCATGCACCTATCCATGATTTTTCGCATACTTTTTGGATTTTGTTTCATTTTTCGTTTTCACGTACACTCATTAAACTTTTTTTTTACTATTTTGCTTTTCGTTATCAAATAAAATGTTCCAACTGCACTCCATCCTGCTCTCAATCACTCTTTTATGTCCACATTTTAATCTCAGTCCTTCAGTGATTATTTACCCGAGGTACAAGCACCCTGTTGTGCGTCCAATCAATGCCCCTGCAAGAATTCAAATTGGGAGTTTGAGTCCTCGTCTTCATAAAATATCAAATATCCAAAGGTTGTCAACATCACTCGTTTAAAAAATGAGCATTAGATAAAGCTCACAAACAATACATGTTACAATGAGTATTTTATATAGGAGTACTCTCTCTATATACATATATAATTCAGTCAGACAATAAAATTGTATATGTAAACGTTCCCAAGAGTAAAATATAATTTAAGTTGTAATCTGAGTAAGTATCATAATGAAAGCAATGTGTAGAACAATAATTTGCATAGGCCTAATGCACTCAACACAATCACACATTTAAAACCATTATCAATATTTCACTTTGAAAATGCTTTTGAGATCTCGAGGTGGCATGTTAATTGTGCTTGGAAAGTTCATTTATTTAAAAGTCTTGAAAGAGCGGCCTATACGAGCCTTCTTCGCCACGGTACTCTTTAAATCCAGAAAAGGATAAGACATTTCTCCTCATTATATTCTGTGAAGACGCGGGAATATTATTTACAAGCACACCCTCATTAATTCTGACCACCAGGGAATTTGCACTATCCCTTCATCAACACAATGCCCCAGTGTGATGACTTCACTCGGCAAGATCATTGATCACACAAGTGGCGTTGGGCACATACATGCATCATCCATCCACATATCAGAGGTAATCGCTGATAAGCAGAGCTGCGACGGTTAGTAAATTAATTCAATTGATCCACAGCCAATTTAGAAAGGTTTGTCACGTAAACAAAACGTGCCAATTCGTAACTTGTACAGCACACCGGTGTGCTGGAGAGAGTAAACCCACCACAACATTTACAATTCGAGTACCGTGACGTTTCGCCGGTAAATACAACCAGCATCATCAGGCAACAGCCAGAGTTGTGGAGAAACCCTTCTCCTGTCTTGTTCTTAAATAGACGGGGGATAAATGTGATGTCGTCACTTGTGAGCCAATCAGGTGCAAAGACCAGAGCGGGGGAGTGGGGGGTTAATGTATTAATTATAATATCTCAGCCCAAAACTTCTATTATGGATATTTGGTCACGAAAGCCTACGAGGTGTGATACTTTTTTTAGTACTACATTAATGTGCTGTGACGTGTCATTGACAAATGTTATTTGTTGCTTGTGCACCACTAACCACTAAATATTTAACTTTTTTTATTGATTGATTACTCAGGCCCCCTTTTTGGATGGCGACTGATCCGACACCCTCCTGACGTCCCTACAAGCCATGCCCCAGCTGATGATGATGATGATATCGATCCCTGCCCATCACCTCCCATTCAGTGGCACACATGAGAACAGGCGGAATAATTATCTTCCCCCCCCCCCCACCCATTATTTTGCTGAATGAACAAAGTGATCATCGGTAGAGCAATAGATTTATTAACTAATCAGATACCCCAGCTCCACTAATTCCTATGTAACTTAAAGATAAATCTTATATATTGGGATTTGTTTTACTATTCAATCGTTTTTATCTCCCTGTCCACCCATTTTTTCTTTTGTCATTCCAATATCTCGGTCCATTAATGCATTTTAGAAACTCCAACCTTTCTTATCTATTTTTCACTGGCGGGGCTTGTAAATGCGCAGCAGCAACAACGCCTTTCACGAATGTAGACGTGGCATTCTCAAGGGACTCTCGGGTTTAACTGCGGGAACAATTCGTACAAATCCACACGTCAGGGGCACAATGTCTACGAACACGGGGACAATCTTTCATGATCTACGGCTTGAAGTGGCTTCGTTGAGAACAGAAAACCATTTTTTTCAGGGCGCTTTGCACATTAAAAATAGTTTGCCTTTATGGAGACGTCATCAGGAGGGCATGGCGTAGATTAGTCTATGACATGTTCATACTTAATCAATTGTGTATGTTTTTCTAAGGTTGGTCAACAAAAAAAACACATGGCACTTTCAGTATCATGCAGACTTCACACCCTTGCATTGACTTTCATTAAATGCTGAATCATGAATAGCTGACATGTGGACAATGTATATATATACAGTATATACACACACACAAACGTACACATGTTGCCTTTGCAATGACCTGTGTGAAGATTAGACGTTTCAAACCGACGTTTCACATTCTGTGACAGGCTCCTACACTTCATCACCGCGATCCAAGAGAATGATTGGTGTCTGGTTTGGCCTTGATTGCCTCACGATCCTCCCTGCTGTGTCCACACCGTGGCTCAAAACAGTGGTGTTGCTAAATCTCCGGGGATCCTAAGCAGAAATTATATTTGGTTTCCTCAAGTGACTACCGCACACATTATGTGACCCGACAAGCTGCATGACTTAATTGAATCACTGCACGCGTTAAATTATTCAGGCAGCAGACTAATTACGACGAAATAATGTAGTAGTGGAATATAATTTTTTTTGGAAATACGACTCGGAGGTTCTTTCATAAATCCGGAGGCCCCCCCCCTCCCCCTTAAGCTTCTTGGGGTCCTCAACCTGCCCTCAATTTGCCTGGGCCTGGTGCCAGCAGCGTCGAGGCTCCCGACTGACCCAAGACCCGGGCCCCCTGCAGCCGAGTGCCTCTGTGATCTCACAGCTATAGGCGGTACAAAGAGGTTAACGTGGGGGAAAGGGGGATATGGCATCTGGAGGAAGAGGGGCCCCCGAAGGAAGAGGGCATGTGGAGAGCTCCCGTAGGAGAGAAAGACGGTGGGTGGGGTGGGGGGTGGGGGGTGGTGGTGGGGGGTGGGGGGTGGGGGGTGGGGGTGGGGGTGGGGGTGGGGGTGGGGGGTGGGGGGTGGGGCTCACCTGGAGGGGTCGTCGGACAGAGGCGAGCGCTGGCCGGAGTGGATGGCAGCCTGCGGCGCCGTTTTTCCGCCGTGCCATTGCACCCGGAGACGCGCGACGCACGCGGGCTGGGCGGCGACTGGGGGATGCTGGGAAGCGTGCGGGATTTGGTGAGGGATGGCCGAGCGACCCAACGCTCACAGCCCCTGCAGGACAACGAGGGGGAGGACCAGTTGAGAGCATTCACCTTCGCACGTAACCATCTCGTGAAAGCTGCCCGTGCTGTAATGTGTTAGCACACCGGACTTGCGGGTTTCAAGGGGTCGCTGCTTTGATTCCATTTACTGACGCGACAGTCGAAACAAAAAAAAGCAAGATTCTCAAATCCCCTCAACCAAAATCCACGCCGTCAATATCAATGGTTGGCACCACAGGTAGGCCTGATCGGCAGGTCCTGTGCGATGGGGGAAAGTGTGGGTACTCTCACCCCTTTCCAGACGTCTGGCCGACGTGGAAGAGTAGGCCAAACGCCCTCCTCAGTGCTCGAGAGCTCCCTATAGCCATTTCAGCAAGGTCGAATTTGTTTGTTTTTTTCCCCCCATATATTTCATTGGTTTTTCTCTTCTAAACTGAATGTTTTAATTGTGAATTCTGCCTCCGTATACTTTACCCCATGTAAATCAACGAGTCCACACCTGGGTCAATTATAGCGTTTTTAATTGAAAACATTTGCAGCATCTGTAACAATTGTGTGATTGCATTTCAACTTTATCATCATCCACCGATTCTAAAATGGCACACTATAAGGAATTCCATAAAAATTATAGCTAATTCATAATTAAGGGTGTTTTATTAAAATTAAGCAAAATAACATGGAATGTACTCAAATACTAAGAGTAGTATGTACACATATAATATTAGGTGCATTATCTACATAAGTATAGTCTAAATGAAAGCTTGTACTCAAACATCCTGCATTCTCGAGACTAAATGAAATAATAATATTAACAATTATTGGTAATATCCACTGTTGAATGAGGACCACAGCACAGCACAGCGGTTTGGGACCATACTTCACAAGTCTGGTCGACGCAGGGTGACGAAGACATGATCTCGGGCGAGCTCGGATATCACTTGCCACTGACGTTAGCTGTGGGCCAGGAGTGAAACCCACGTCTATTGGTTCGTGGAACAGTGAGCTGTGATGGAGCATTGTCCCACAGTTGTGCAATATCATGCAATGAAAGTAACATTTTGAAAGTGAATACAACGCACCAGAACTCGAACAAATCGGTGTTCGAACGATATTTCTGAACATTTTTTGCCCCGGAAACCGAACGAAATTCGGAGGTCGAACGGGCACTCGCGACTTGAAAGAACCTGTACACGGCTGAGACGCTGATGGCCAGCAGCGTGCATGACGCTTGCCTAGACAAAGGTTTTACCTCCTCCTCACCACCTTCCACTGAAGCCATCAACTCTCCTTACTACTGGTAGAGTGAAGTTCAATGTTCATTTATTCCATATATTTATTCATTTATTCCATTTATTTATTGTGTTTCTTGTTTTTTTGTATGATTTTATGCATGCAATTACTGTAAACGTCGTGTAAAAATGCTATATAATGAGAGATTTATCGTGTCTGGAACCAATTAATGTCATTTACATTAATTATTATGGAGAAAATTTATTCGGTGTTCGTACAAATCGGTGTTCGAATGGCCTTGTGGAACGAATTAAATTCGATCTCCAGGGTACCACTATATGTTGGATATGAGAAAAAAAATACCGTCTAGTATATGTCAGCCTGCCAAACTTCTTGAGACAATTATTACATCCCGCACCACTGCTCACTCAACAGACGATATGAACACTATATTCTTTCCAACATTGATTCCAGTGGCATCTTTATCACGTGTGGTCTAAAAACCACATCAACACCTTGGAACAAACATAAAATGACATCACATACAACAGATACATTACATGTTTTTATGCCTGAAAACAGACTGCTTTATAAATATACAGAGAGAAAGGGAATGTATATGTGTGTTGGGCAGAGACGCGACACTATTCTAAAGACATCAATCTCTCTCTCGTTCTTTGCCGAAGGGCAGGTCTACGGTCAAGCTCCCTCCCCATCCCATCTGATCCCTCATCCACTCATTCACTCACAAAATCTCACCTCATATCAGGGGTTCTTAAGCCTAACTAGGCCAAAGAGAGCCGAGGTGGCTTCTCTTTGCCTTCATTGACAGTGTGTTAGTTCATGCTATTATAACCCAAAGGATTTTAACATATACCCGGCATCAAATTCACTACTGAATGCTACCAGTTAATTTAAATTTGCCGTTAATATCATTCACATCATGTGACCTAATGTCATAGGGTTGCCACCTCATGAGGTACAAAATCCAGGAATTTTCATGGGGATAAGAAGAGGGGGAGAACTAAATGATGAAAACTAGAGCTTTTAATTTTTTATGTTCTGGGCAGACTTCTACGGTGTTTTTTTCCCAGGAGAGCTGCCTCGGAATTAGGAAATCCTTTGGAAAATCAGGACAGGTGGCAAACGTTATCAATTAATTAATCCATTCAGGCTGCTCTTGTCTCATTGCCTATGTTCCTCTAATTTGCTGCCACACCCCCACTGCTCCATCATGTGATGCAGCTTCTCCGTCCTTATGCGTGAACAACAACACAAAATCACATATTGCAGCTTTAAGCGATTTCAACTGGTCACAATGACCATACAGAGATGTGTGTGTGTGTAAATCTTACGAACCAGACATCGGAAAAATTCGCAAAGACATGTTATGCTGTTACAATGCTACAGAAGCAAACATTTAAGTTAAGTGGTTGCTTGCAAGCCAACTAACCTCACAATTGCTTCGCCCACCATCTTAAGACTTAAAACTCTCTGTCCATCAGCTATGGCATGATGAGGGTCAGGGAGGCAAGGGTCCAATCCCTCCAGACAACCCGATGCTCAAAGCCAAAACAATCGGTCAGTTAGAGCTGACCAATCCGTCAGAGATCTCATCGCGTTTACCCGAGTTTAGTAATGCTGGAGACAGGTGGGTACAGATTATTCGGCTTTATGGCAAAGCAGGTAAAGCCACAAGCTACAATCCAGTGCACATTACTAGAGGATAAAAAAAAAATACTTATGTCCAGTTTCGTTTGGCAGGCTACATAACAGAAATGTTCAGATAATCCACAGCTAAGCCTCCCTGTGAGTGGTGTACAGACGCATGCCAAAACCAATTTCAAGAACCCGGACAATTGGGCCGATTGTATGATAAAACAATAGAGCATCGTGTTTTTTTGAAATTCTATGTATATACTTGACGTGATATAAATTATACGGAACATTGTGTTTGGATTACTTGCAACCTTTTTAAACGTCCGTGGGTGTCATATAAGACACGTTGTTAGACGAAATGCACATTGCCCTGTTTTGTTTGTTTTCCAGCCGGGTTCCCGGTTTACCTGTTTGCCCGAATCCAAAACCACGAAGACGACAAATAACCTTTAAGTCCAAACCTTGGGGCACCAAATTTGGGCATTGGGTTCATCATGCATTTTGGTATGGCAATATTTTGGATTGGTGGCTATAAGCAGCGTTTTTATCCGGAGGAGCAGTTCAAAAAGCCCCAAACCCATCAGGCAAGGGATAAAGCCGAGCGTGTTTTCTCTCCGGTAATCCCGGCAGTAGTGTCTCACCAGATAATGAGAATGTCGGAGCCTGAATGTCCTTATAACCTGGAGTATGATGTCAATGCTCACATTCGGATGAAAGCAAGCTTTTTTTATCCCTCTAAAATGTTTTTTTGTGTGTGTAATAAAGCGCCTGGCACCAAAAATGTCATCCCCGCATCGATTTGTTATCCCTGAGCATCAGCGCAGCACTGCTGTATACGATGGCTATTCTCTTATCAGATGTGAAGACAGAAAGAAAAGCGTGTATTTAATTACCGGGACATTATTTAGCCACGCAAAAGAAAATGTGTGGACATTTCGCAAACACCGCCAAAGCAAGGTTTACAAATTACAGCTACTAAAAACATTGAAGGCGATTATGAAAGAAAAATGTCCATTGACATTTAAAACACATAAAAAATTTATTTCTAAACATTACATTCATGTTATGAGCAATACACCATACAACACGCATCTTTAATTATCAAAGCGATATAAATATACGCACTAATTAATTATATTAAATATATTTCTAAAGTCAACACTTTCCATTTGCAAGTCATATATACCGCGTGCTGCAGATGTAGTAAGTAGATATAAATAAGTTGACATCGCAGAGAATGAGGCAGAGGCAACAAACACACAAAGCAAAACAAAGACCACACGACAGCCACGATGGTAGCAGGGGGGGGGGGACGTGGCACCAATCGCGCAGCCTTTGCCGATACCTTGGCTCGTAGTGGCACAGGCTGGGAGTTGTTTCCAAGGCGTAGTGAAGCGACTCTCGTCTCTTCTGCTGAAAGTACTCCGTCAGCTTCCCGAAGGAAGCCATCGTTGGCCCAACTCACCAGCCGCGGGCTCGTCCCTCTCAAAGGCTTACCAATGCCACCCTATGGATGCCAGCGCCGACCTCCGGAGACATGCCCAAATATGCGAAGGTTTTGCATCGCGCCCCTACGGGAGACGAGCGAGCGCCGTCGGACGATGACTGTAGCGCGGCGCGATCGGTCGATGGGCTCTTGCTGGCTTCCCGCAACGAGGAGGGGAGAACGAGATAGGGGGAGAGGGATGCTGCATGGGAAAGCATTTGTGCTGCTGCTGCCGCCGCTACCGCCGCTGCTGCCTCGCACGAGAGTAACCTTTGTGATTTTGCCGCGCGAGGCAGCAGCTCCCCGACCACTCATACATATTGCATGGCCGGCTCAAACACCGTGTCCCACTGCTTTGAGAGCATGGCCGTATATTACAATGTTGTGATCAACTGCCGAGGCCATCCGATGTTTAAATGATTATTACCCCAGCGTTTTAAAATCAAACGCAATTATCCGGAGAGAGCATCGGTTTTAGGATTAATTGGCGAGCGGCAGGAAATATGTTTTGCTGAAAAAGTGAAAAACACACATGTGCCTGTGCTAGTTTATAGTACAATTTACTATAATTGCCTGCAGAATACATGTAGTCAAGGAATATTGCTACGATATAACTTGTGCATTTATGGTGTGCA